TACAAGCATTCAGCACGATGGCTGGATAAAGATGAAGTGTCAAAACACAGTCCAAAACCAAATATTTATCCAAAAAAGCTAATGGTGTCTATTGTTCCAGCACTGGTATTATCCACTATACCTTCATGAAACCTGGTCAATGGATTACAGCATGTCTACTGCAACCAACTGGATGAAATGATGAGGATGCTTGCAATTAAGCAGCTGAGACTGGTCAATAGAGACAGGCTAATCCTCTTACACGACCACATGTCGCAAAAAGTAATGCTGCTCAAACTAGAGAGGCCAGAATTGGAAACTCTTTGTCATCCACCATATTCACCAGACCTTGTACCAACTAACTACCACTTCTTTCAGGCTTTGGATCACTTCCTGCAAGGAAAAATATTCAGTTCTCAACAAGCTGTTGAAAATGCCTTTTGCGATTTCATTGTCACTTGCTCTCCAGGCTTCTTCGCTGCTGGCATAAACAAGCTACCTTTAAGACAGCAAAACTGTGTCAACAGTTTAAGTGCATACTTTGATTAATTGTACTGCTTCTTGTTTGAGATACAATAAACTAAATTTCTGATTCAAAATCAGACGTTTCATACTTAATGACCCAATAACATTTCAGTGTATCTTACAATGTAGTAAGCTAAAGGTATATACTATAAACCCTAAAATGGCCACTAAAATAATAAAGAAATATAGCTAATAAGCCAACAAAAGAAATAAAAATGGATTCATTAAAAAGAAATTCAATCCAAAAGAAGGCAGAAAAGTGGGAAAATTCCATTCTCCAAAGACTAGAAACAAAATACCAACAGCAACATGAAAGACCCAAACCTAACCCAATCAAAAATCACATTAAATGTAAACAGTCTAATTAATAGACATTGTCAGATTGAATAATTAAAACCTAACTATTTCTGCTGATAACAAATGCTTGTTAAATACAAAGACACAAATAAGTTAAAAAGTAAAAAGATGGGGAAAAAAAGATATACTATGGTAACATTAATTTTAAAAAAGCTGGAGTGACTATTTTAATAACAGATTTCACAACAAAGAATATCACCATGGATAAAAAATGTTATTTCATAATGATAAAGGAGTCAATTTATCAAGAAGACATAACAACAAATAAGTATATACAGCTAGCAACAGAGCTTCAAAATACATAAAGCAAAAATTGATAAAACCGCAAGGAGAAATACAAAAATCAACAATTTTAATCAGAGATTTCAATACCCCCCTCTCATGCAACAAGAATGATCTCAAATTAATTATGCTGAAACAAAAGAAGCCAGACCAAAAAAAGCCTATAGGGTATGATTCCACATATATAAAACTGTAGAAAATGCACACTAATCTATAGTGACCAAAAGCTGATCAGTAGTTGCTTGGGGATGGAGGGATGCAGGTGGAGCAAAGAGATGTAACAGAAGGGCACAAGGAAACGTTGGGGATGATATTATAGCTAAGTTTAATATCGTGATTGTGGTGATGACTTCATGGGTGTATACATATGTGAAAACTTGTTAATCTGTACATTTTCAATTTGTACAGTTTGTCGATTATATTTCAATAAAGTTGTTTAATGTGTATGTGATACAAAAATTGTCTACTACTTATCAAGCATGCTCCAGCCCTGGAAATAAAGCACTGAAAAGGACAGACACAGGACCCATCCATACAGAACTAATAGTATTAGCAGAGAAAACAGATACTTGAATGCCACAAAGTGGGATAAAGTCTATGAAGTACTGGGTACTATGGGAAAGAATGATACAGACTCTAATTTGTACAGATTCTACAGCATAGATCACAACTAGGTAGTCAAGAAAGGATTCCCTGAGGAAGTAACATGTAAACCAACATGAAAGAATGAAGTATGAATTAGCTAGGTGAAATATAGTGGGAAAGCATATAAAAACGCATGTACGAAAATGAAGATTCCAGGGAAAGGATATTTGTAAGATAAATGCTCAGAAATGGAATTACTAGATCAAAGGGTAAATACAATTTTATAAAAAAAAAGATTTTTACTTAGTTCTTTGGAATAGAAAGAGACAAAGTGATATTTACTATTTATGTAGCAGAAGGAATTTTGGAATAATAACATTATTTAAGACGAGAATAAGCCTCAGTGCAGCTAGGTCTGACACCAAAGACATCTTCATTCTCACATCTCAAATGCAGTGTTTCACATACCCAAGGTATTCACCAAAGATTTGCTAAATTAAAGTGAATTCCTTGGGTTAAGTTAAAAGAAATCAAATTGTCAGAAGCTCCTCAAGTGTACCTCAGTCCCTCTAGAAATAATGATTTTAAAAAGAAATAATCTCTTCTTCACCATCCTCAATAATTCTTAAAGAAAGTCCCTCACGAGAACTACTGCAAAAGCCTCCAAACTGTTTTGTCTCCATTCCTCTCCTCTTCCAAACTCGACCTTCACAGAGTCTGAGAATAAACTCTTCCATCTAACATCCAAATCTGTTCATTCACCCTCTATACTTAAAACCTTCAAATGGCACCTCGTGTCCTCTAGTTGTGCATCCCAAACAATACAAGATCAACTCTGGTGAAATGAGTGGGGAAAAAGGACAACTTTGTGACTTTTTATAAAAAAGACTACTTATTGTGAGATTTTGCTTCCTGCTTTTTTTTTGGTGTTAAACATGCTTTTGTTTATGAAAAGACAGGTAAGTATATGATAATTTTTAAGAAACATCTCCACTTAACAAATTAAAAAGTTGGCAAAACTATGAAGCTGAGTTCTATTCTTTATTGTAATGGCCCAATATAAAAAAGTCTGGAAAACACTGACTGACAAGATAAAGTCCAAAAGGCAAACAGGGTGCTCTCTGATCTATCTCCTCTTACTTTGCCAGGAGATTGTTTGCTCCAGCAATCTAAGACTGCAATATTCTACAGCATACAACCTACTAATTATTTCCCTTTCCCTTTGCTCACACTTTCCCATGAATGGAGTAACTTCAACAACTCCTCTTCTTCATTCGCTCAATTTATTGAGTATTCACCATGTGCCAGGCACTAGGGATAGAGTAGTGAGCAAAAGAGAAACATCACTGTTTTTGTGGAGCTCACACTCCAGTGGAGGAAACGAGACAACGAAATCAATACAGAATTTAAAAGGATGATAAGTACTGGTTTATAGAGCATGCAATGGAGCAGCACAAAAGTGAACGCAGGAAGGCATGTCGGTAGGCTTCTATAGTTCAGGTAAGAGATAAATGTGATTTAGACTAGGGTGGAGGCATGGAGACATCAAAATCTCGAGATGACTGGACTTGCTGCTATATTGAACAGGGGCTAAAAGAGAAGAAATACACCAAAGATGACTCCAGCATGAGCGACTAATAGACTTGCACTAATAGCCCCAATTTTTTATGTCTCCCTGGATCTATGCTCTTTGGTATGACCTTCCACACTAACTCAAGGCTTGACTATTTGACTTGCTTTGGCCAGTAAGGCACGAGCAAACCTGCTGCAAGTAGCACCTTGAAAAAGCACTTACCCATTGCTACTTGCCTCTTGAAACCAATCTGGACTACCCTGCTGACAGATAAGAGACCATGTGAAGGAAAATCAAGGGGAGACCATCGGAAATAATCTTAAACCAGCCTATAGCCTGAGAACCCCCAAACATATGAGGAAGTCCAGACAAGATAAGCAGAGCTGCCTAGCAGGTCCATAACTGAACAAAGATGCACCAATGAGCCCAGCCAGGAGTAAAAGAACCACTTAGCTGACTGACCTGTTGACTTGTAAGCAAAAATAACTGCTTTCTGTTTTGAGTCACTAGTTATTATTTTGAACGCATTAACTAACTAAACACGACAGTACCACCTACTGACGGGGAGACTGGAAAAAACATGATGAGAAAGAGGAAAAGGAAGCAAATGAAAACAAAAACCAAGTTCATCTTCTCTTACCCTGGTCAACTCCTACCTATTCTTCAAAGCTCAACTTAGACATCAACCCCTCCAGAAGGCTTTCCCAGCTCCCCCAGGGTGGTTTAGGATAGATATCATTGTATTTTGTACATATCCCTATCATCGCCTTCCCATATGGTTTTACAATTATCTGTTTACATTTTTCTTCCTAACTAGACAATATCCCTTTTCTGTTATGGACTGTGTGTCTTCTTGATATCATCAGCACATAACACAAAACAGGCACTCGATAGATATTTCTGAATTTAATAAATGAATAGCTACTTATTTGATACTCTATTAATTAACTGTAGATCAGTATTTCTTAAAGTGTGATAACTGACAACATGTATCAGAATCAGCAGGAGTGTGCATTAAAAAAATGCAGATCTCTAGACTCTAACAAAAACTCCGTTCTTTACGTTACTAAAACAAGGATGAGAATATTCTGGCCAGTTACAGATAAACAAAACAAGTAGTAGCAGTGAGGGTACTAAATCAACCTTTCCTCAAAGATTTCTCTAGAGATGTTCTCTACGACAGAGGTCTTAGTGTGCAAAGACTTGACCAAATGAAAATGCTCTGCCTGGAATGCATTAACAGTTTCTTTTCTAAGAAAAGGCTCTCCGTCAGAGGAAGCAAGAGCGGGAAGTCCTCCAAGGAGGTGTGGTTTCTCAACGCACACGTTTACAGTCGATGCTCCAGGAGGAAAGAATGTCCCGTGCTCTTCCCACAACAGGGGCCAAGCCGGGGACAAACAGGTGGCCGTAGCCCAAGCAGCACCCGCGTGCCAGACCTCAGAGCGTGGGCTGCTAAGCCGAGGGCGGGCCCAGGGTCCCGCTACGGAAGAGCCGCGCGAAGGCGGCTGCCACAGGGTTCTGGGATGGGCATCACTGTCCAGAAGCGGCCACCGTGGGTCCGCCCCAGCCGGACCGGCAGTGAGGAAGACCACGGTCGCCTTGCTTGCCAGAGTCAGAAAAAAAATGCGGGAATGTTCAGGCAGATGGCAGCCGAAAACTGGAAAGGAATGGAGTGCGTAGGGGCGCCGCGGCTTCCCACCTGCGTCAAGCTCCAGCTGGTAACAAGGCAGCGGCTCCAGAGAGAGCTTGTAACCCTCGAAGCGGGGATCCAACAGAGGTCTCTTCACCCGTAGGGAGCAATTAGCTGCCATTTCCATCGCCTTCCAAGGTCCTAGCGTGAGAATTAATAAAGCTCTTGTTGAAAGGTCCGCGCTTCGCTCCTCGAACTGTCGCTGGGAAGCGGCGTGGTTCCCATCCCAGGAAACACTGCGGCTAGGCTGCCTTCTGGGAAATGTAGTGTTCGTGAGAAAGTTGATCCTGTGGCATGCTGGGCTATGTAGTTTTCTGGGGACTTAACGCCCGCACGACAACAGGGTCTGGACTCTCTTACCCAGAGGGCTGAGCGAGACCAGGAGGCGGCCCGCGCTGGTTAAATTCTCACATTATAGGCAGAGAGGCGAGATCCCGCCCCGGAAATGCGTGTTCTAGCTTTCTGTGTGCTTAGGTGCCCGAGCTACTGAGGGTCTAAGTCCGGGCAGCCGAAGAGTGTGGTAGGTAACGGTCATCAGCGCAAGGGTCATTTCGTCGCTGGGAAGGGACGGCGCTCGCCCGCGGTGATGGTGGTGAGCTATGCCCGTGGTCCTCAGGGCCGGGACTCGGGCCCAGCCCAGGCTCCTTTCGATGTACTGTCTTTCGTTAGCTTCCCCGACCCGCTCTCGCGGGCCTGTAGGGCTCTCCGACAGGGCGTGCTACCGGAGTTGGCCTGAAGCCAGTCCTCGCTTTGTTTTCTGGCTCCTCCCCTCCCGCCTCTCTCTGTCTCCGCCCTGTTCTATTTTCCCAAAGAATGTCTGAACTGGGAGGGAACCCCTAGCGCCCTTGTTTTACCAGTGAGAAAACTGAGGCCTTTGAGAATTAAGTGACTTGTCCAAGGTCACTATCCGTATTTTAGGGGCCAAGGCGAGGTCAAGTTCAACATTCCGGGAATGATACTGACTAGACCTTATAGGTATTTTGAAAATGGTAGCCTCCAACTACGAAAGCAAACATTTACTAGTTTTTTCTCAACTCCTCCTTTTCCCTGTTCTTCTCCAAAAAAATAAAATAAAATCAACTCTGAAAACTTATTACCAGTCTGTATTTTCATATGCACGAGATAGGGGACGACAAAAGTAGTCTCAAGTTAGTGTCAGGTGGGGAAACGTTAGTTTACTCCAAGTTTTATTTCATTTCAACTTTTAAATGGTCTGAATGCCTTCAAAACCTTACCTTCCTCTACTTTCAACATTATTTTGGTTTTGGTTGTCTGTTTTCACTGAAAATTGAAAATTTTCTAAATTGGAAATTAGTTTGAGATTTCTTTTCCCCTTAAGCCACTAGCAGTGTATGTGTGTTTAATAATACACACACACTTACATCTAGTTTAGCAGTTGTAATTCCGAATACATACTAGTGAAGAGTAAAGTAAAGCACTTAGAGCTTTATCTGGTAATTTCATTTTTTACTAATAGTGTTTAATCTTTTTTGATATTTAGCTTATATGACTTCTTGAAATTTTTGGATGTAGTTCAGGTGCAGAAGTGATCAGCAGTCAGTTATGTGTAGTTAGATAAAGTGTTTGGAGTTTCTGGGGTCAAAGTACCTGAGTTCAGACTCTGTCTTCACCACTTTACATTTCTGTGCCTCAGTTTCCTCATCAGTAAAATACAAACGTTAATAATATGTAATAGAATAAGTTTTGGGAATTAAATACGATTTTTAAAAACCCACAAATGTTAGCCCAGTACCAGGCATATATGTTTAAAAGAATAACGATATTGTTAACACACTTGCAATTTGTCATCCCTTCACTTGATAGAATGTTAAATGTTTTAGTTTTCTTGCCTAGAGGATTTAGAAGAAAATGCTTTGTAAATGTTCTATATCTGAAAATACATGTTGATGTCCAGGTTAGCAAGATGAACAAAGATGCGCAGATGAGAGCAGCGATTAACCAAAAGTTGATAGAAACTGGAGAAAGAGAACGGTAAGTACTAGATTGCACTAACAAATTACATTTCGCCATCTTTAATAGATACATTACATCTGTTCCTAACATCTATAAAAAATAATTTAGGTCTGTTCAATATTGCAGGACTTGGAAGGAGTTGGTAATGTAGAGAGATGAGCAGGAGATGACCCTCTCTCAAAGAATGTATAATGTAATGGGAGAAGAAAAAATACATATCCAAATAATTACAGTTGAAGACATAATGTTACCCAGGTTTTAACAGGGAGACACCTTGATAGAACCACTTTCAGTTACCAAGCTCTCTTAATCTTGAGCAGCATGTGCTTACTCTCTGAAATACCCTTCTTCCTTCCTCTGATTTTTAGCTAATTTTAGCTCATCTGTCATGTCTTAATTTACATATTGCCTCTTCAAGGAATGTTTTTAAGTTGCAAATACCTTGTTTCATTATGGCATTTAATTACATTGTATTGTAACCACCTACTTTGCTAGTTTGTATCCTCCAGTGTAATCTAAGTTCCTTGACAGCAGAAACACCATTGTATGCCCAGCATCTAATGCTATATGCCTGGCACACAATTGGCTCAGTAAATATTTGAAGAATGAACAGGTTTAGAAGTACAGAAGGGGATCAAGAAAGGCTCCCAGAAGCAGAGTGATAAAGTGTACAAGAGAAATGTATATATAAGGAACAGGGGGAATCTTTCAACTGTACCTGGGGGTGAAGGTGATAAGTTTAAGATCTCACAGAATAATAAAAGAGATACTTCACCTGGGTCAGAAGGATAGCAGTTCTCTGAGCCAGTAAAGGAGAGGACATTCTAGGACGATAGAACAGAATATGCAAAGTCACCGAGCTTTAGTACAACATAATTATGTTCTGGGAATTGCAAAATAATAGGAGAAACCTAGAGGGTAAAGTGTAAAAGCCATGTAGCTGGAATAGTGCACAGGAGGAGCGTGGATTTTGTATGAGTCAGAATTCTTTCGATTGAAAATGATAACAACTGATCTCAGAAACTGACGTAACCAATGAAAATGTATAAGCTCATCTAACTAAAAAGTCTAGGGCTTAAAATTTCTTCAGACACCACTGAGTCCAGGCACTCAAAAATTTGTTGCCTGGAATATTTCTTTATCTTCTTCTGTCAACTCTGCTTTCCTCTGTATTGGCTTTTATTCTCAAGCAGGCTCTACCTACAGGTAGCAGAGATTATGATCAGCCTTGCCTAGGTCATGTTTCTATTTCTAGAACCCTACCCAAACACTGAGAGTGGCCAATTTTTTCTGTCACAGAAAGGGCAGGAAAATGGGTGGTAGGGTTTGCAAAAAGATCTGTTACTGATTTCATTTTAGCTGGTGGGAGTCATTAAAAGATTTTGAGAAAGGGAATGACTAGATCACATTTACACTTTAGAAATCTTACTCTGTTGGTGTGGAGGGTAGATTTGAAGGTGTCAAGATAGACGGCAGAAAAGTAAGGTAGAAGATTACATATGGTTAAAAATGGAAAGGAGAGCTTAGAATTTTTCTGATTTTCTAAAAAGTAGGAACAGCAGCCCTCAATATGAGGAAAGAAACATCTAGAACAGTACGTTGGGTAACTTGAGAGGATAGAACTACCAGTAATGAATATAGGGGATTATGTGTTGGTTTTTGTTTGTTTTTTTCATTCGTGCAGCTTAAAGTTAATGAGTTTCTATCACATGCTATGCTCTGTTAAGGTGCTGGAGATACAGTTATAGACAAAAATGAAGTCTGTGCTCTCATGGAACCTACATTACAGTGGGAGGACACAGACAAGGTATAGTGTGTTAGATGGTGATAAGAGGAACAATAAAGCAGAGACTAATGGGGTGTGATATTTGGATAGAAAAAACAAAGAAGGCTGCACTGACAAGATCAGAAGGATGTGAGGGGGTGGGAGGACTCAAAGATCCTGAGACAGGAGATTGCCTGGCATTTTTGAGGAACACTTGGAAGTTAAGGAGACTGAATTAATTGGGTGAAGGAGAGGAGGTAAAGTCAGAGACATAGCTGGGGAAAAGGACAGATCATGGAGGATCATTTAGGCTCTAGTAAAGTCTTGGAATTTTATTCTGAGTAAATTAAGAAGGCACATTATAGGGTTTTGAGCAGTGGGAGGAGAATGAAGTAGAAGGGAAGAAATAGGAAGCCAACCTAGGAGGCTTTGGTAACAGTCCAGAGAAGAGAAGATGGTGGTTTGAACTAGGGTAGTAATGGCAGAAATGGTGAGAAACATTTGAATTCTAGATATATATTTTAAAACTGAAACCAATAGGATTGGATGTGTAGTGTTAACAAGGGAGCTGAAGGATATTGCCAAAGTTCCTAGCCGAAGGAACCAGAAGAATCGAGTTGTCATTCTGAGGAGGATGAAGTGATAGAGAATCAAAAGTTGGGTTTTGGCTCTGTTAAGATTGAAAGACCTAATTAAATATCAAGATGGAGATGTTACGTGGAAGTGGTTTACAGAGAAAGAGAATCCCTTTGGTTTGGGATGTGACATGTTAAAGCTGAGAAGTTAAATGATTTAGGTTAAGAATTGAAGACTTGTACAAGTGGGTATGACAAAGGGTAAGAAAATGTTTTATTACATCTGTGATGCCATTAGTTACAATATACACCATTACTTTTTTACTGTTACTAAAAAAGAAAACGCTGCCAATTATAATAGCCATACCAATTACTGAATCATTAAAATATGGAGGAAACCACAGTCTTAGAATCAATGAAATACCATAGTGTGTAATTTAGAAGGGCCTGATAGTTTGGGATAAAAGAAGGGGGTAGTCTGTGAGGTTGGAGAGTGGGATAATGGGGAAAATAAGAGAATTAAAGGATAAGAAGCTGTGGTCAAAGAATAGATTTTGGAATTCAAAGATTTCGCTGCTCCAAGCTCGATTAATACTCTAGAAGTTGTACAACAGCCATGATATTCCTGTCAGTGGAGGGAGGTAAAAAGTGTGTAAGAAGGCCAGAGAGTAGAGTTTCTTGAAAAACATTTTAGCCTCTCCACTTTATTTTACTCACTAAATGAGGCCCAGATGAAATGAAAGGCCCAGAATTTAAATGACTTGGATAAGATCAAAGAACAATATAGTAAAAGAACCAAGATTAGGTCACAATTAAAGTTTTTTTGTAACTGAAAGTCAAAGTATTTTAGTTGCACAGTTCAACTTTTGCTTCAAACATTTCTATGTAAGATGTACATTGTTTAATTTGAAAACATTTATTTTTCAACAGCCTCAAAGAGTTGCTGAGAGCTAAATTAATTGAATGTGGCTGGAAGGATCAATTGAAGGCACACTGTAAAGGTAATCAGTTTCATTTAGAAGATAAGCTAATCCCATTGCTCTGAACTGAGTTGGTTTGGAGGTTGCTAAAAAAACATGTAATCAGTATTTCAAGGTATATTGAATACTCAAGCATAATTTTAAACAAATAGGAAATTTAATCTTGTAGTAATAGTTTCGTCCTCTCAGTGATATATGTAGACTTAATTCCTAAATTTTTAGGAATTTTCTTCCTGTTTCTCTTAAGACAGGCATGAGCACTAAAGATTTTTTCTTGCATCAAAATTGGAATGCCATGTTTTTCAGCAACATTAATATTCTTAATGTTTTGATTTAATAACAAATTGAGCACTTGAGGGTTGCCAGACTGACAGAAATCATCTCTCTCCTGTCTATAACAGTGTTATTTGAAAAATTCATCTATAAAAGCTCTTTGAGAATTATACTTACTTAAATGTAGAAAGGGAAGCTTGTGAAATTACTGGGTGTAATAATACTACTTGATAGATTACACATGTCACTAATATAAGCCTCCTTACTGGCTCAGTTTTTTGTATAGTGGAATTCTGGGTATTTTTAATGAATCCCCATTGTATTTTAATGGTCTCTACAAATAAAAATAATAGAGACTATTTATATATTAACTGTAAGAAGGCAATGTGGCAAATTAGTGAAACCATAGTCTGTAAGGTCATACAGACTTTCTCTGGTTAAAGATTAGAGCTGGATTTCAACTCATGTTTGGATGAGTTATTTAATCGTTAAGCCTCAGTTGCCTAACCTGTGAAGTGGGAAAAATGCCTAGCCCATTAGATTATTGTGAATATTATATGCTGTAAAGCACCTAATAGAGATCCAGTAAATGTTAATTGTAACAGTTGTAAGTTTCCACCCTTTTACAAATGTTAGACTTGAACATTACGGTTCAAATTCATTCTGTTACAATTATTTATTAAGTTACAGGTTATTTAGCTGAGACTTTAATGAATAGACTTTTATTTTTTTGGTCTAGAAAATAGTTAATATGTTTCTGAGGTTGAACTAAATTTTCAAAATGTCCTCTTTTTTTTTTTAAGACCAGTCTACACTCTAAAAACATGATCTTAATCCTTCCTCTATGAAAATCTTTCTTACAGATAATGATTTTAAATGATATGATTTGTTTTTTGCTTTTGCATAAGAGGTAATTAAAGAAAAAGGACTAGAACACGTTACTGTTGATGACTTGGTGGCTGAAATCACTCCAAAAGGCAGAGGTAAGGAATACGGATTGTCAAAGGAAACATCTGCTGCAGACAAGATTTTCATTCTCTTTTGCTGATTCAGATTTTCCTTCTTTTTATAAAGAAAAGTGCCCTTTCCAAAGTCATTTAGGTACTTGTGTTGCCTTATGTGGGAAGAGTTTTAATTGCCTATCTGCCTCTCTAGCACAGTCTTGAGTAACAAATAATAGGTGTTAAATGTTTTTGTCCTCTAAAACAGTGTACCAATGCAAGTTGATATGGTTATTTAGGCAGTTAATTTTTAAAATATGGGATTTTATAGAGACAAATATTACTTGAAGCTAGGATTTATAAATTTTGTCAGATATGGCCTGAGTCCACTTAATATTTAATAATTCAAAGTTTACTCCAGCCCCTGAGTCATTGCTGAGCTATCTCTTTCCTTATTAAAAATAAATGAAGATCTGTCTTCTTAAATGTCTACTTAAGAATTTGGTAGCTCCGTAACTTCATGTTAAGGGTAATCCATATTTAAGACTCACAATGCAGACAGCCCTTCTTAGTTTCTCCCTTTAGTGTCTTGTTTACAGAAGGCAAAGAAAAGGTAGGAAATACTATATCAAAACTGATGATGTGTAATAAGTATTAAGTCAGGAACTACATCATTTTTATCTCAGATGTAGCCACATTTTTATTTATTTTGATGAAGTTGGAGTCTTTTTGTAGTTGTAAGTAGAAGGTAAATTAGATGGCCAGTAAGTTTTTTCTCACTCAGAGATAGTAAAAAGAATTGAAGTGCAGTAATTGCAAATAAAAAAAATTGAAGTGTTAAAAGTAAATATGTTTGAAAATTATTACTATAGAACACTAATTTTCTGAACTGCTACCTGCTGGGAAGAAGGGGTGGAATCCCATGGTCCTTTTCAACTATCTCTTTAGGCCTATTTATAGCTGGAAATTGTAACATTTTTTAAAGTATATTTCAGAGAA